ATCAAAACCTTAAATTATTTAAATGAAACTATTCCACTTGGTTTGGTGCTAACGCTCAAATGGCTCTAGGAAGTCATAATAGCTATTCAAGAGATTTTTAAATGCAGAGTTAGAAAATCTCTGCTGGTATTGCACCTCCTGTTAACCAGAAGTATAGAAGCCTGCTGTCTCCATTATAACTGGAACTCACCATGAGCCAAACAGCTAGTAACATCAACTCTACACCCTGTGAGAATCTGGAGGAAACAAAATTCAAATACTTTCTATATAACATTAATTGGTATATGTGTAAATAGCACATAGTGTATTTCAGAAATTATAGACAAATGAATAGATAATAGACAGGTAGATAAATATATCAATGTTCTAGTTATTAGTTTGACATTTGACAGCTCCAGGCAAAGTATGCTTCAAATCTGTAAGTTCTTCAAATCTACTCTCAGAATCTCACAAAGAACAATAATAGCCATTGATTATTGTGTTAACAATATATCAGTGAAGTCTAGAAATAAGGGCAATTATTCCTCATTACATATACATATATGCGTAGTTGATAAAATTTTTATCATTTTGCTGCAAACAACTATTTGGAATCATGATAAAAGAGCACAAATTATCATAAACAAGATACCTAATTCTTTCATGAAATGTTCATAAAAACAAAGGAAATACATCTGCTGGAGAATTTTTTTTAATGACACCTGTAAAATGATAGAAATGCAAAGTGTACTTAAATAAAAGAAGGCCATGGAACCATTTTCTATTGATATGATGAAAAAATATTCAATAAATGTTTTATGTATCAAGTGATGACAGAATAAGAAATAAGATCAAGAGGTGGTTCAACTGGTGCTGGCACTCCACTTTTGCTCCACAGGACAGATATTGGGGAAAACTCACCTTTGCATGTTGATCTTGGATCTCCACATGCCCAATGTGTTACAAGCATATTCATCAGTAAATAAATATCATTAAAATGAAAATTTTAAATAAGATCATGTTCAATTTACCTTATTTGTGCCATAGACTACAGTCAACAAGTAGATTTAAAAAAAAACAATAAGATAATGCAGTAAGATAATATGTATGCACAGTATGAAATGGTTTAGAAAAAAAGCACCCCACAGGTATATTGATTGTTTGGCTCTTCGTATGCACAGAAATAGATCAAGATCTATACTTGAGTATATGTAGCTTTTTCCAAATGCTTTTTTTTGGTTACAAATGTTTTCTTTTATTTATGACTAAGAAAAAGGATGTTGTTATCGAAGTTTCAGGAGAGGTGAAATCTATGGTCTAACCTTCACCACAAAGACTCAGAATGATTTCACAAATGTAGACAAAAGAAAGCGATTTGTTGAGAAAAACAGAAATGAAATATATGACATAAATTCTGAAATTGACTCTTTTACCACATGCTTTTTTACACCCCCAATTCTGTAAGTAAATGCTATGGTAATTATTTAAAGAAGGCAGATGAATGGGGCAACTATCTATGTGGCGGCTCTGCTTAGCTCTACTGCCTTATTCCGCAGCCAGAGGTCACGTGCATGTTGCAGCTAGAAACAGCCAGCCAGAAACACCAGCCCTGCCACTCACAAGATGCCAACGTGGGAGATGGCTCTACTAATCTTCCATGCTGTCTCCACAAGACTGGGCTGAGCCCAGACAATCCCACCATCCATATAATACCCGGTATAAAATGAGACTCTAATGCTTAATGATTAACCAAAGGCTTTATACGTTTAGTAATGATTAATAAACAAGATGCTCACACAATTAGAGATGTTTCCCAATTATCTAACCTAGATACAAGTTGTTACCCAGAACACTGATCTCGATAAACCATCCTCCTACATTTCTCTCTCTCTCTCTCTCTCTCTCTCTCTCTCTCTCTCTCTCTCTCTCTCTCTCTCTCTCTCCTCCTCCTCCTCCTCCTCCTCCTCCTCCTCCTCCTCCTCCTCTTCCTTTTCTTGTTCCTCTCCTTACTCCTCCCACCTTAGCTCCTCCCAACTTGCAGGGAAAATTTCCCACTACAAGTAAAATAGCAATTTTTCTTTCTACTCTGTTCTTTCCTCATCTAATATAGTAAGCCATCAGTCCAGGGTTAGACTATAAATAGATGACATGCCAGGAATGATGGAACTTAGTCTGGACTTCCACCATCTTAACCATGCAACTAGGCCAAGGAAGAGCATAGAACATTTCCATGGACAGCTTAGGTGCTTTTCCAGACCAATATACACAGGCAGTTAGACTACAGATGCTTATACACTTGTTACCTATTACATGAAACTATCCTACCCTCAGCTAGTGAGAACAAAGGCAACACCAAGAAAGATGAGAGACAAAACAAGGAGATGTCATGAGAGAGAAGTGCAGAGGATAGAGAGCATTGTATAACAGCACTTTTCCTGGGGATACACAACACACATAACTTCTCACTTTAGATAGGCAACCCACAACAGATTGATGTACAAATACCATCAAAGTCTAATTTAATAAACCAATGAGTTCTTGAGAGGCTACTTATAGAAATATGGGTAAGCAGTTATGTATAAGAACAAAAGTACTTCAAAGACAGCTGCATCACCACAGTCCCCTCCAGCACACTGACTCTTCATGATGCTGGGCACCTGGATCACACAGCACAGCCTACAGGAAACTTAACAAGTTGGAGAGTGTCGTTTCCAGGTGCCTCCATTGATCTATGCCTTTCAAGGCTGTTTAGCAGGTTTCTGCTTCTTACAAGCAACTCTAAGTCTCAAATCCTTCATTATAGCTTGACTAATCTGAAAGTCTTCTTTGCAGTTTCACTCCACTACTCTGATAAGGACTTTCAACTTTCATTGCTTACTCTGGCTGAGAGTGGAATAGTGAATCTAGTCAGTTTTAGGAACTTCCTGGGTCTATTTTGAGTTTTTAACCTTTCTATTTGAGGACTTTCCCTATAGCGTGGACTCTTTTAATCCAGGATAAAATTGTTATACAAGGAGTTAGCCCACTTCTTTAGTTCCTAAATGCAGCCAAGCCCAAAAGGGTCCTGGTTTAAGCTAGTTTGTATTAGCTTCAATCTAAGAAAGAAAATTTGACTTACATAGACCAAAATCCATGTCCACCTTTATACAGACCAATCTATCTGAATGAATATAATACAAAACATAAAAGGTTTTATAATCTAAAGCTAAGAATTCTCCACAGACGATTCCATAAGACTTGTTTTTCTCATTTTCTTCAAAGGATTTCTGGGTGGATTCTTATCCCTCAGGGTTTCCTTTGCCAAACTAAAAATTAGACTCAAAAATATTTTGAAATAAAGGTGGAAACACTACCTGTGCAGAGGGTACTGCAAGGGCATCAAAGTGCCCAGACTGAGAAAGTTACTTGTATTCTGTTTGCATATAAAATATAAGAGGAAAAGAATATTAGAGAAAAGAGATAGTTATCAAGCATACATACATCTCACCATAAATGCCTCTACTTTCTCCCTTCTTTCTTCCTTAATTACTTCTTGATAAGTCAGGGAAGAGAAAGGACTGGTGTAGTGAACCAGAAACCCAAGCAAAGGAAGAGAGAGAGAGGGAGGTTAACTTTCAGGATAATTAAGTTCCTAGAGTCCTAAGGCATTTCCATGATTATGTCAAAATTAAAGTAAAAGTCACATGAAATCCCCTTCAGATCTATGTCATAATCCCTTTTGGGTGCCTGACAAACCTTGAGAAGCCCAAGTGACAGTTACTGATTTACCTTTCTGTGCTGAAAATGGAAGTTGAAAGTTAAGTGGCAACATAAAACTAAGTACCTCTGAGACCTAACTTCATGTCTGGACTAGACAGAAATGACAGAAAATCATTAGGAGCAGAAGGCATTGAAAGGTCAGAAATAAATTGTTATCAAGCGCTGTTTGACTATTTTATCAGTCAGATGCCTCCCCTATCCCTTTTTGCTCTCAAAAATGCAGTAACATTTTCTTATCTTTGGAGATGAATAATGATGTTATCAGGGTTGTAGGAACCCACAGTCAGATTCTGGGAATGTTTTGTGTAAAAAAAATTGCTGTTTTTGTTAAATATGATTCTTAAATAGTAGTGATTAAAAAAAATACCTAGTTATCTTGTTCTGTCTACCTGGACTATGGCTTTGTGAAGAGACATGATGATGTTTATCCTCCATAGAGGAAAAAGCCAAAGATAGATTTGAAAGAAAGTATTTAGGTTTTAATGAGGTTTTGTGAGGTAGATATTTTATTTCCAAGATAGAGTCCTAAGCAAAGCAAATCATTCAGTTCCCTTCCCTTACTATAGAGCATGACATTTCTCCTCCCTTCATTGTTTTGCCCCTCCTCTGCCCGCTCCCTTCTCAACCACACCCCTCACTTTTTACGCTTTGAATCAAGAGTGGTCCTGTGCCATCATGGTTGCATAAGATCATGGGAAACTCATGAAAATCTCTCAGAAATAAAATTCATCTTCAACTAAATGAGCATGTTAGTGAATCAAAATTTGTGTAATCTGTATTTAAGTTATGAAAGTATGAAATGATAGGTTAAGGGATTGGATATAGGAAGGGAAAGAGCCTTACTCATTTTAGCAATTACTATGTAATGTCCTAAAATGATTCACTAATCACTCCACAGCTGGTTTGTAAAAATATAGGTTACCAAAGCATGCCTCTAATGCCACATTCCATGGGATTTGCACCTGGAAAGAAAAAAAAGCTATAGGTTCTGGAGTTATTCAGGACGATCCTAGACTAAATCTAGATGTCTTGTGGCTTAGCTTAATTTCATTGATACTATTATATTTAAAATAAAGTTACTTTGGATTTTGTCATCTTCAAAAGAGACAGTATGTTTGCCAAGAGGAAAGCTGGTATTAAACAGGCAGAGGCTTTTCCAAGGCCTCTTAGCTCAGGATTGCAGAGATCAACACAACACAACGCTGCATCTCTGAAGCTGCTAAGCCAAAAGCTAGAAATTCCATTTACATACAGAGTTCTTGATCATTTGTGGCTCATGAATGTGATGATTGGGCATTCATACCATTGTATGGGATATTCTTCTATCAAAACTTTTTATACCATCTATACATTCTTCATTTGATATAAAATAGTAATAATAAATTTTAAGAAATAAACAGTCCATCTACAAGTTAATTGTACTAATGAATTTTTATTTCATTAATTAATTTACTTTACATCCAGATCATAGCTCGCACTTCCTCTCATTCTCCTCCTAATGCATCTGCAGCCCCATCCCCACTCTCTTCTCCTCTGAGAGGGTAGAAGACACTCTGGGTATGAACCCATCCTGCCACATCAAATTACTGCAGGACTAGGCATAGCCTTTCTGACTGAAGCCATACAAGACAACCCAATTAGGGGAACTGTACCCTCAGGCAGGCAACAGTTTTAGGGACATCTACCTCTCTAGTTGTTGGGGAACGTGTATTAAGACCAAGCTGCACATAAGCTGCATATATGCAGGGAGTCTACCTCCAGCTCATGTATGCTCTTCAGTTGGTGGTTTCGTCTCTGGGAACCCCAAAGAGTACAGGTTATTTGACTCTATTGGTCTTATTATGGAATCCCTATTCTCTTCAGACCCTTCAATCCTTTGCACTACTCTTCCTCAAGACCCTTCAAGCTCGCAGTTTAATCTTCGGCTGTGAGTGTCTGTTTCTGTTTTGGCCAGCTGCTGGGTAGAGCCTCTCAGAAGACAGTTATGTTATGTAGTCATGAGTTTTAACACTTATTTAGGTATAATGTCTACCTAGGAAAAATAAACCAAAAAAAAGAGAGAGAAAGAAAGAAAAAGTAAAGGAAACAAAGAAATGGAGACAGTGAAAGGATGAGTAAAGGTCATAAACAAATCTCATGCTAGATTGACCTCACAGATCACAAACGCAGTGCTTCTGGAAAGATGGGGAATCTTGTTTGTTCTTGTTTTCCCTAAAAGTTATCAATTTGAAATCACCTATAGAAAGCAGATGAAAACTAAAGTTAGAGCTAAAATTTTTCCTTGTGTTTCCTAGTATGTAGAGAGTCCTAAGTTTGAGTCCAGAAGCACAAAAGTGGGGCTTAGATCTATCTAGTCACACCATTACTATTCACATTTCCATGTGAGGATGGTCTCTCTCTCTCTGTCTCTCTGTGTGTGTGTGTGTGTGTGTGTGTGTGGTGTGTAGTATGCAGATGTGAATGTGACATAGCTCATGTGTAAGAAGAAAATTTTAGGGGTAGATTCTTTCCTATCATGTGGGTTCTAGAGATTCAACTGAGGTCACCAGTGTTGGTGAGCACTTTTACCCACTGTGCCATTCAGATGGCCCCATGGATAGATTTTATTTTGTTATTTAATGTATGGAAAGCTGATTACTATCTTAAACACATCCCTAAACCTACATGACTCTATCTGCACCCCAGAGCTAAGGCTGTCCCACAGCCCTCCGTCCCCAAATCTAGTGATCAAAAATACATCTTTCTGGGGATATCTAAGAGGAGTTGGAAGACAATAGAAGAGAATACATACAATCAAAAGACATTGTCTACATATAAAAAAAATTCTCAAAGAATAAATTCATTTTTAAAAAGAAAGAAAGGAATGAATGAACGAACAAACCAACAAAAGGGGGAAAGGGAAAAAAGGGAAAGAAAGGGAAGGGAAGTGGAGGGGAGAGGAGGGGAGGGGAAGGAAGGGGAGTGGAGGGGAGAGGGGAAGGGAGGGGAGGGGAGAGGGGAAGGGAAGGGGAGGGGG